AAGTTAAAAAAATTATCATTAAAATTTTTAAAAATTATTAGTTTTGTAATTTATACACAATGAAAATAAATTACAAATATTATAATATACTGGTATATTAGTATAGTATAGTATATTTGTATTCTAATTTTTAATTAAACTAAAATTACTCTAATAATGTATAATAATATATGAGGGGATAATAAATTTAATCCAATTACTTATGTATATATCCTTTTTTAATTTTTTTTTCTTTTTAAACTTCTCACATTCTACATTTTTTTGAAAACTCTATCATTTCTACTACATTATCATCCTCATCTCCTCCCATATTCTATTTTATCTTTACAATAATTAGTCTTCTTTTATAAGATACTTTATTTTCTATTTGTATTATTTATTTTCTTATAATTTAAATAATTAATATTATTTTAACATTTATTTTTATGATTTTTACTATAATAAATCAAATAAAATGGTTCGATAATATCAATTAATTAAAATCATCACATCAAAAGCTTAGATAACTACATTAAAATTATTAATTTTAAAATATAAAATATATTTAAAAAAATACTAAAATTATAGATTGGAAAGAAAATAGAATAAACAAATATTTTTTACTTTATATCATATTTAAGTGTATGCACAAATGTTGACCTTCTTAACTATAAAGAAATAGTTAAAAAATATAAAGCTAGAATTTGAAGAAGTGAATTTTGAAGATAAATACTATTTTTATATAAATTCATTCTAGTATATCAATTAACAATAATAATACATAAAATTTAAAAGCTAAACTAAAACAAAGTAAGTTTAAATTTATAAAAAAATATTTTACTAAAAGTATCTTATTATATTAATATTTTTATTATTTTTGTTAATTATAAATTTAAATGTGTTTCATAAATAAAATTATAAATTTAAATATATTTACACTTTTGATCCATCATAAATAAAAATAAATAGTCTCTTATAAATTTTGTTCTATTTTAATCCATCATTAAATTTGTTTTATATTATTTAAGACAAGTATTTAAATTATTTTATTTTATTTTTATGTATTTTTTAACTTCAAATTTATTTTTTATTTTTATTATTTATTTTCTTATAATTTAAAATAATTAATATTATTTTAACATATTATTCGAAAAAGAAAAGACATGAAAGAAGAAAAAACGAATTTGATAACTTATCATATTATTAAAAATTTGGATGAAATAATTATGTATAATACTTTTTTAGTATATTATGTTTTTAAATTTGCTAATAGAGAAAAAGTTTCAGATTTCAAAATGTTAAATATTTTTAAATATTAAAATTGACTTTATAAAAAATTAGGAAAAAACAATTAATCCAAAAATATAATAATGATAAAAATATTATAAAAAAAGAGTTCAAAAATATATTATAATATTTTTTCAGTTTTAATTTAATTATATTTTTAATTCTCAAAGTAGAAAAATATATTGTAATTATTTTAATTTAATAAAATATAATTAAATTTTTAATACTAAAATTAAGAGATTAAATAATAATAAATTTAATTAATTAAATTTAGTATTTAGAAACTAAAATTATGGTTTCTCTATTTTAAAAAATTAAAATAAATATTTAAAAATAAAAATAAAAACTAATATTATCTTAAATTTATTAAAAGTATAATTAAATCTCCATTTTCTTATCCAATTTTAGAAAATTTATAATAAAAATCTAATATATAAAAAATTTGAAATTTTAAAAATATACAGCCTTAACTTACATTAATTGCTTTTTTGAAAAAAGCTGACAAAAAAAATTGGGCTTCGAAAAAATAAAGTTAATAATTTTGAAGTTATTTCAATGATAAGGTTTACAAATGTGATCTATGCATTTATTGAGTAAAATTGGAGGTGTGTTGAATATAGATTTAAATATATTTTTAATTTATTTAAATATGGTTTATTTTTAATATTTATAAATAAATTAGTTTTAAAATTTTAACTTTTCTAGCAAGATATTTTTAATCTTTGTTATTAATTTTGTTAAAAATGGAAAATATTAATTAGTATATTTAAAGTAAAAAATTATTTCAACTAAAGATAAATATATTTTTATAAATAATTTAATTAAATAATATATTTATTATCTAATGTATATCAATTATATTTTGATATAAATTTTTTTCTAGTATATCAATTATATGAAAACAACTATGGTTAAGCAATTAATAATAATAAAGCAATAAATTTAAAAACTAGATTAAAAATAAAATATTATAAAATAAAATTGTAATAATTTGATTGATATTGTAATTTTTTTAATTAATTAAGTTAATGAGGAATTAAAATATGATAATTTGATGTGTTTAATTTTTTTAATATAAATTTTTAAAATATAATTTAATTTCAATTGAAATTTTCAATTGAAAATATATTAAAAAATATTTTTTATTAAATTTTTCTTAAACAATGTATTGAATAGTTAATATCACTCCAGTTTTAATTTATTATAATTTAAATTTTTAATAAATTTGATTTATTTTTAATAATATTTTTTTATTTTAGTAATTTAAAATTAAAGTTAATTTTAATTTTGTTAATATTGATACCAAAGTTTATTTTTAAAGTATATTTTAAAAAATAAATTACTTTTAAAAAATAAATTGTAAAAAATATATTAAAGCAATTAAAGTATATTTATAAAAAACTAAATTTAAATATAATAAAAAAATAATGTTCATTAGCAACCGATTTTAATTAGGTCGTTATTTTCTCATTAACGACCGATTTCAATTCGGTCACTATTTCAATTTGTCATTTGATCGCTAAATCAGTTGCTAAATAAATTTTTTTATTTTAGTATGGAATAGCAACTAATTTAACGATCGAAATTTTGTGACGCAAACTATTGATTGTTATTTCGGTCGCTAAATAAAAAAGTGAAACCAAATCATATTTCTGTAACAAAATCGATCGCTAAATTATGACCGAATAAAATTGATCTCTAAATCGGTCGCTAAATTACGATCAATTTAAATTGATCGCTAAATCAGTCGTTAATTGCGACCGAATTAAATCGGTTGCTAATTGCGATCGAATTAAATCAATTGTTAAATCTGTCGCTAATTGCAACTGAAAAAATTCGATCGCTAATTTTGATCGTTAAAAGTATTTTTTCTTGTAGTGCTAGGAGAAACGTAACACAAAAGCTAGCCATTATAGTTGAATAGTCCGAAGCCTTATAAACCCGACATTATAATAGAATCCCCTACTTCCAATGTGAGGATCAAGTACCTTGCAATGGTATCCTAACAGTTCTATTGTTTCAAAACTACATGGTGAATGCAACCATGGGCAGGGGCCAGAATATTGTGCTGAAAGTTAAGGATTAGGTGGAAAAGAAAATTAAACACAAATTAGTTTATTTACAAGACTCTAAAGCGTTATTGTTGTTGTTATTATGAAAAGTATTGATGTCATACTACCATTTATGCTAATATTTATGTCACAAATAAGTTTAATAGAATTATACTCCCCTAACCTAATATGATTGCTAAAATAACAATAATACATATATTGTAATAATGCCATTGGCCTAGCTACCATATCTGATATTATCTTTACACTTCACCTCAATGCTAATTGTCGATAGTATTGGGTTTTAGTTAGTGTTGTCTACCACTATTCAGTGATTAAAGTGACCACAAGTAGTCAGAGTCCTCCAACCTTAAGGTTGCGGAAATGGTCATTATACATTTATTGTTACTACAAGGAAATATGCCCATACTTCATCACATTTTTAATCTTTTCTTTTCAGGTTGGTTTTTTGAACTTTGGTATAGGCATGCTGACTTACTGGAAGTATCTCATTTTCATTTTTATTGTGTACAGGAAAATCCTATGATAATGGAGTGCTATAATTTTAATAGCAATGGCAAACATGATTTGATGGAAGTATCTCATTTTCATTTTTATTATTTATTTTTTGTTTCATCAGAAAAGTGCAATGGAGCTGAAGAAGCTTTTTTCTAGTGGCCAAGGAGTAAATTTTTTTTTTTATCTTCTGCTGCAGGTCATAATTCTCATAACAATGTTTTATTATATTAAAATAAGTTACCACATGGAATCGCATTCAGTAACAGTTGTATTCAGGAGATAGTTGGTGTAGGATTTATTAGCAAGAAAGTATAAAAAACTTACTTAAGGTATTTGATTAAGGTTTTAAAGACCAACCAGGTTCCACTTAAAATAGATAGAGGATGACCACATTGTAATTCACTAGTGTTTCTCCGTATTTTATTTGCTCCATTTTGTTCCCTTTTATGTTTACTATTCTATCTTGGCATGCCATGCTGTATATTTTCCTTCCCTGGAACTATTTATGCTTGTAGAATATTCGTTTGGAAACTGTTCCATGTGGCACTTTATATGAAAATCATCCTAAAATTCTTTTCACTACCCAAAACTATATTCTATACCCAAAACCAAGCAGTTGGGAAACAAGATCAGCTAGTACACAGTCTGATGATATTTTATAAAATGTTTTCACAATACTTGTGTGCAAGGGTTTATCCAATGTAGACAGTTTAGATGTGTAGTAAAAGTGATACATAAACACTTGTTTTTATAATTGTTTACTTCAACTGAGCTATGCTCAGTTTCTTTCAACATATAACCAACACATAACCAACAAAGGGTTTTAATAGCCCCTGATTAGAACCATATAGTCACACCTGAATCAAACCAAACGATTGGAACCAATCAAAAGGTAACATAATCCACAAATACATATTAATTAAATAGTACCAAACTGGAACCAATCAAAACCACACTTGAAAACAACTATTTAAACCAGAGGGACATATCTTCCAAGTTAATACAAACAGGTGTGGCCCAGGATAAAATGGAGTAAACATCACCTACATGACTCACAAATGGTGATTTGAAGGTGTGTGGTGATTGGCGTGGTCGCGGAGGACCGGTGAGGTAATGACTGGTTCTAATGAGGGGGTTGCAAATCAAATTGGGGCATAGTTGGCAATGGTGGTTCGCGGTGGTTGGTTGGGGCTCACAATAGCCACTAGTGGGGACGTGTTGGTTGTCGGTGATGGCTGGAAGTGGTTGTGGCGCGTGAATCTAGGGCTAAGGATGAGTGGGAGAGGAGAAGTAAATGGGATGGAGAAAGGAACGAGAGTGGTGTTGGATGGTGGTTCGAAGGTGCACGGTGGTTGGCGTGGTCGTGGAGGACCGGTGAGGTAATGACCGGTTCCAATGAAGGGGTCACAAATCAAATTGGGGCGTAGCTGGAAGTGGTGGTTCGCGTTGGTTGGGGCTCACAATAGCCACTAGTGGGAACGTGTTGGCTGGAGGTGGTTGTGCCATGTGGATCTAGGGCTGAGGATGAGTGGGAGAGGATAAGTGAATGGGATGGAGAAAGAAATGGGAGTGGTGTTGGTTATGCAGCCTTAAGCCCGGTGTAATTAACTGTTCATTTACCGACGGATATATCCGTCGGTAAGAACAAATTCCATAAATACTTTAAATTTATCACTAATGTCCATCGGTAATCATTCATTTTTCGATGGTTACATATCCGTCGGTAAATATCTATCGGTAATGACTCATTTTCCAACGGCTACAAATCTATCGGTAACTATTTGTTAATTTACCAACGGATTTATCCATCGGTAATTAATTGTTCATTTACCGATGGATTTATCCATCGATAATTAATTGTTCATTTATCGACGGATATATCCGTCGGTAAGACCAATATTCACAATGTATAATTAAATATTTATTTACAGATGAAAATATCCATCGGTAATCACTCATTTTCCGACAACTAAATATCCATCGGTAAATATCCATGGGTAAAAAATGATTTTCTTGTAGTGAACCAAAGTCTTGTTCATTCTCTCTACTAGACCATTCAATTGAGGAGTGTTAGGAGGAGTCTTTTTGTCTTTTATGTTCGATACCCTACTTGATGGGGATATAACCATGAATAAGGGTAAGGATCCACTTGAAGGACTTGAAAGACATATGACAAAAGCGAGAGTAAGCAAAACAAAGGAAGCTCTTTAACAAGTGTTGTCCATATTATTTGAATACAAGCCCACATTTCAAGGAGAAATGACCAAAGTTGTGAATTACATCATGGCCCAAATGGAGGAGGACTAATGCGTCACTTTGTTTCAGTCTTTAAGTTTATTTAAATAATGACTCAATCCTTTGTAAAATTGGCTGACCAAATTTTGGGTTAATCAATTAATGGGCTTTAGTTTGGTTTTGTTTCAAGTTGTAATAAGGGCCCAATTGAAAACTTAGGCATCAGCCTTTGGAAGACTAAGATGGTGCATAGCTGATTGATTTTGGTTGCCACAAGTTCAATTACAATCAACATTAAGTAGTTTTCAATTCCTAGGTTAATGAATTATTATTAGCATTTATTTGCCTCCATTAAGTAGTTTTCAATTCCTAGATTAATGGATCATTATTAGGATTTATTTTCCTTTATTGAATGGTAACTCTAATGGCAAAAGCTTTATATATAAGTTGAACCATTTTTATCAAACAAAACAAATTGAGTTTTATTCAAAAATACTAAATTCTTAGGAGATTCAAGAACTCTTGGATGTATCAAAGGACTTTCACATCCTTTGTAAGTTGCCTCTCTTGGGAAGGGTGATTCTTTCCTTCCACCTTTCACATTCACCTCTTGTCCTTTCTTTACTAGAACCCAAAAAAATCAATTCTATTTAGATTTATTTCGTGGTTATAACTTTCATTCTACTCGTCCAAATTGAATGTTTTTTAGCCTAAATTAAAATTCAAAACGAGAACTTTCACTTCGCTTTTTAATCACCTCAATCGGAGTTTATAACTTGAGATATCGACGTTTTAATAATTCTACGTAACTCTGAAACTTTCCCCACTTTCTAATCCACCTTCTCACTAATTTCCTAAATTTCCTAGAAGATTCTAACTCTAAAGATCCTAAGTTAGTCCTTGTTCAAATGAGGTTCATATCACTGCTGCTTGTGATAAATATCAAAGGGTTCATGATACTCAACACCATTATCAGTACGACTACATTTTACCTTCTTACCTGATTGCCTCTCAATCAAAGCATGAAATTCTTTGAACTTTTCAAGTACTTGATCATTTCTTAGTAGTGCATAGACCCATAGCTTCCTGGAATAATCATCAATAAAAATAACAAAGTAAAGTGCACCACTAAATGACTTTACCTTCAATGGACCACAAACATTAGAATGCACCAATTCAAGCAACTCTTACTTTCTTGAGGGAGGATGCTTTTTAAATGAGACTTTGAATTGTTTACCAGTCATGCAACAAGAACATTTCTCCAATTTTGCACTATTCAATCCCAAAAGCATATCTTCTTTAGCTAAGCAACTAAGCCCTTTTTCACTTATATGACTAAGCCTTCAGTGTCACAAAGATGCCTTCATATACATAACATTCACATTATCCTTAGCAATCAAAGCTTTAGTCTAAGATAATTTAGAATTTTTCTCCCATCTAGCCATGACCAAGTTACCTTTAGTGAGTTTCCATTTACCAGAACCAAACTGATTGTCATAAGCACAATCATCAAGAAAATGCACAGATATCAGATTAAAACGCACATCTAGGGCATGTTTGACTCCTCTGAGTAATAATTACACTCCCATGTTGGTTTGCAAGCAAACATCATACATCATCATTACCCATCTTCAACACTCCAAAATCACCAAAAGTGTAAGATGTAAAGAACTCCTTCATCAGTGTAACGTGCAGTGTGGCACCACTATCAATTATCCACATGCTCTCTCAGATACAAGATTAATATACTCATAGTCACGAAGAAACAAGGTCACCACATGGAGTAGTGACACAATCATCATTATAATCATTCTCTTTCTCATTGCCCTTCTTGCCTTTGTTATCCTTTTTCCACTTAAAGTAGTGTTATTGGATGTGTCCAGGTTTATTTCAATAATGACACTTCATATTCTTGTATCTTGCCTTGGACTTGCTCCTGTTGTTGTCTCTACCACCCTTTGATTCCTTTTTTTGACCTCTCCCCCTATTTTCAGTGACAAACACCTCAGACTGAGATGAAGAACCATGTGTCTTCCTTTTCATATCTTGATTAAGAGCATCACTTTTTGTCATTTTGAAAGAAACAATGTCTTTAGGGGTTTAGTTTGTAATTGAAACCCAAAATATCTCCCAAGACTCTGATAAGTATTCAGTAGTCATAGTCCCAACACTTCATCATCAAAATTTATACTCATTCCTAAAAGTTTATCTAGGAGCCCTTGAAACTCATTTAAGTGATCTGAAATGGAAGAACCCTCCCTATACCTCATATTTATCAAACAATTCAACAAATACAATTTATTATTGCTTAACTTAGAAACATACAAAGACTCAATCTTCTCCTACAAAGTTCTAGCATGTGTCTCATTAGTAATATGATTATAAACATTGTCTTCTACGTATTGCCAAATAAAACCGCACACCAGTTGGTGCTCAAAGTCTCATTCTTTATCAGACATAGAATCCAGCCTTTGTATAGCAAAATCAGGAAGATGCAATTTCTTCACAAACAATAAATATTTCATCTTTCCTTTCCACAAATGATAATTTATACCATTTAAAGTAATCATCTTTGTATTTGTCTCCATCATTCATGCAAGTAAATATAGCTAAAAAACCAAGAGCTCTGATACCACTCTAATAGGGGGAAACAACACAACAACCTAAAATACCAAAGTATGCAGTGGAAATAATTTTCTTAAACTTATTAGAATCTGTGAGGAACAACAACAGAAAATTACAAGAATAATCACAACAAAGAGCACCGATATTTTTAGTGTGGGAAAATCCCTTAATATGAGAAAAAAAAAATCCACAGACACAAGTCAATCAATCAAGTTCCACTAAGATCAAAAGTATGAGTACAAAATAGTCAAATCAAAATAAACAAATAAGTGCCTACAAGCAGCCAATATATCAAAAGTGTTCTCAAATTTGAAGAACAAAGTAAAGAATCTTAAAAACCATCACAATGCAAGATTGATATCTCCAATCACAAACTTCAAATTGTTGATCCACAATGGTCAAAATGAAGACCCTTACACCGCGAACTTGCTATCAATATTTCAACTCAATCCAACTGTGAACAAAACGAAAATCGTAATTTTAGTAAGGTGGCTCGGTAAATAATCGAAATTGTTTTCTTTTCTTTTTCTCTTCCAAAGGACTGTGAAATGTACTTCTATTTGTTCTGACCTCGAAGAACCTTCTCCAATTAGGTTAAGTGAGATAAAATAAGTTTGACTAATTTGACTTTTTAGACACATAATTGGAAGCCCAATCCAACAATTACAATAAATGTAATTGAGATTATTTGATTAAATGTTCCATTTTCCAAAATAATTCAATTTTTAGGTTTAAGTAATTATTTGATTTAGGAGTCAAGTTGTGTTTTAATTCAATTAAATTGAAATTCTTCAAAATCTTTATGGATTTGTTTTGTAATTACAAGTAATTTTACAAATTAATGACAATCATATGAATAAGTTGATGATTGGAAAATCAACCTATTTTTCATAATTTTATTCGATATTTTAAAGCAAACTTTCAACTTCAATTCCATTTTCACTTTTAGAATTCGAATTTACATGTTTTCTTCATTTTTTTCAACATTTAAGTGTTTTCCTAAGACTTAGATTTACTATTTTCCTTTATTACTTTAAATTTATAGGTTTATTTTACATGACATGCTCTTTTAATGCTTTAATAGTGTAGACAATGTTTTGCACAAGTTTATATGCTTTAGTATATAGGTTTATTACATTTGATTTATATTCATGTCTTTTACAAGCTTTCATTTACTATTTTTCATATAATAGTTTATCGATTTTCATAAACTCTAGCTTTCTTGCTTTCATTTTACTATTTCTCAAACAAAACAAAAATTCAAATCTCCTTCAATAATTGAAAATCAAGGTTCAGACAACATTGATTAATTATCTTCGATGATACGATCTAGACCAATCTTAAAATTGTATTAGTACCTGTTTATGCATATTTGATTACATCTAGGTGACAAGATGTGCATTAATTGAAATGTTGAAGAGCAAATGGTGATTGTGTTATTTTAAAGTTTAATTTTTATTTGTCAAAGATTGGTGTGCATTTATGTTTCTAATTGTGCTTTGTATTTCTATGTTTAGTTTGAG